TGTGTGTGTGTGTGTGTGTGTGTACCTGGTATTGGTGCAGCAGAGTGTGTGTGTTGTTCAGCAGATTGTGTGTTTGTGTGTTTCGTTGTGTAGTATTGTTTAAGTGCATGTGTGTGTTTTGCAGTGTTTCCATGGCGTCAGTGAGGGAGTTGAAGAGGAGGCGGAGCCTGTTTTCAATCTGCCCCCTGCTGGACAGGAAGTCCACCTGCAGCGAGTGAGCGAGAGACTCTGATAGGCTGCAGAGAGAGAGAGAGAACCACATCAGAATAAACATGACTTTAAAACGTCAAAGTTCAAACAAATATTTTATAAGATCGTGTTCATGTTTTTGTCAAACACACCTGAGCTCCTGAAGAGCTGCTGCGTTAGCGGCCGTTAGATTGACAGCTCTCATGTTTTCCAGCATGAACTCTAAGTCCTCCAGCACATGTGTCTGATTGGCTGATTCAAGCTCCTCCTCTGTGGTCTGGTTCAGAAGCTCCGCCTCCCTCAGCAGCACTGTACCAATCAGACGTCAGAGTAGTTTTACATCATCATGATTACAGTAGCGGTTGTTTGTTGTGTCTCTATGCTATCGGATTGTTGTTTTTTTTACCCTGAATATTGTCTTGAAGGCTGCTGATACTCTGCAGCAGCAGTGCACTCTGGGAGAGGCTATTGTTGATGGACAGGTCCACCTCCTCCATGTTGTTAGACAGATGTGTGACCTGTTTGAAGCAGAGCCCAAAGATAGGGCCTCTCTTACTCAATGATATGATGCATGAATGTTAGTGAGTCAGTTAGTTCATGTAAGCTGGCCTGTTACCTGCTGTAGTAACACTCTGAGGTCTGAGGTCACATGACTCAACTCGTCTTCGACTCTGGACACGTGAACGCTGACGGAACTTTTCTCTGATAAAATCACCTGAACAAACCAGAAACTCGTTACATGACATCATCAGGCTGCGTGCTGCTGATAGCTGAGCTCTGATTGGTTGTTTGTGTCTGTACCTGCATGTCTCTGGTCTGGTTCTCTAGCACCACCAACTGGCGGTATGGTGCAAAGGTAACACCGCTCACATTGACAGAGAGGAAGTGGTCGTGCAGTTCGTCCAGGTCAGTCAGCAGAACGCCGGTGCACTCATCGTCACATGCTGGAGTTCAAAACAAACACACAACTCACCTCTGACAACAAGAAAGATGTGTGTGTGTGTGTGTGTGTGTGTTTGTTTGTTATTACTCACACACACACTCTCCTCCCTGAAGGATGTGTCTGTCGTCACACTGGTCACATGATTGACCTTTGACCCCAGGATTACACTCACACTGTCCTGTCAGTGCGTTGCACAATGAGTGGACGGAGCCCCACCTACTGCATGTGCACTGAAAACACCTCCCACCTTGTATTGAGGGGTTACCGTAGTAACCAACAGAACACCTGGAGGATGACAGCTTACAGTCAGTGTGATGTCACAGTGTGATGTCACAGTGTGATGTCACAGTGTGATGTCACAGTGTGATGTCACAGTGTGATGTCACAGCCTGATGGATTATCTCACCTCTCACAGTATCTCCCCTCGTATCCCGCCTGACAGACGGTGCAGTGAAAATCACCAAACGCTCCGTCTGACTCACACGTTTGACTGAAACTACACGATCACAGCTCAGATTAGTGAAATAAAATAGATAGAATAGAATAGAATCAACAATCAGTGTGTAGTGTTACCTGTTGTCCCGTAGGGGGCAGGCACAAAGTGAACAGTCACTGATAGAGCCACTGACATTCCCATAATACCCTGGGGCACACCGCTCACAGCTACGCCCACTGGTGTGATGCTTGCAGTCCTGAAAAAGTTAACACGTGTTAGGGTGTGTTGTCATGTTCTAGTGTGTGTTAGCAATTGTTGTCATGTGTTAGCATGTGTTTTCGTGTGTTGTGCTGTTAGCATGTTTTGTTGAGTGTAAGCATGTTACCTGACACTCTCCAGTCTCCGTGTCACAGCTCTCACTGTGGTTACTGCAGCGACATCGAACACACGGACGAACAAACATCAACTTCTGACTCTGAGACGACAACTCAGACTGAGGCTGACGGAAATAACCTGCTGCACACTCCTGCAGACAGACAGGTCAGAGAGAGAGAGAGACAGGTTAGAGAGAGACAGGTTAGAGAGAGACAGGTCGAAGACTGACACAGGTAAGGGAGACAGACAGGTCAGAGAGACAGGTCCTGAATCCCCTGCCTCAGGTTCAGATATTTGTGTTACTCGTTACCTGACAGGACAGTCCTGTGTATCCAGGTGGACAAATGCAGGACTCAATGAGTCTGGCCACACCCCCTGTGACCTCTGAACCTTCCTCTGACTCCACCTCCCGTGCTGTCGCCATGGTAATGTTAGAAATCCTTGACAACATAACACAGGAAATGACAAAGATACATGTTGCAATAACAATTCACTCAAGTAAGACAGTCATCTGCAAACTGTGTCCGTCTGAAGAGAGAAACTGACCAATGAAGATA